AGCAATCCACAGCAGCACTAGCCAGAGCAGGAGGAGGGAACCTGTCCTTGAAACACATAGGGAAGGACCCATACCAGGTGCTAAAGTACAAAATAGCATTGGGTACTGAGAGCTTGCAGGTCTCTTTTGGCATGTCCTCTGATGCGACATCGCAGCAAACTGGACTTGTGCCAGTAAAGATGAAGAAAGGCTGATGATAAGAAGTTGAAGAGTTTTAAATCTTTCAATTCTGTGTCTGTTAACTACAAGGTGGGGACACTGTTGGTTCAGTGGTAGAATTCTTGCCTTCCATGCAGGAGACCCTGGTTCAATTCCTGGTCAATGCACTTCAGGCACAGCCACCACCCATCTGTCAGTAAAGGCTTGCATGCTGCTATGATGCTGAGAAGCGGAGCTTCTAGGATGAGATGGACTAGGAAGAAAGGCCTGGCGACCTACTTCTGAAAATTTGACAATGAAAACCTTATGGGTCACAATGGTCTCATCTGCAACTGATCACGGGAATGGCACAGGACCAGGCAGCGTTTTGTTCCACGGTGCATGGGGACCCCATGAGTTGGGGCTAACTTGGGGGCAGTTTACAATAACAACAACTACGAGGCAGAATTCTCTGGGTGCTAATGTGCTGCCCAAGTGGGGTACCACTAGAATACTGGGGTATCAACCTAGGCTGCTGCTTTCAAGCCACCCTCCCCCCAAAAAGGGTCATTCCCTCAAAAAAGTACCCCTCCTCCTATGGGGAACAACCCTTTCACGCATCCCTGGAGGGGTATAAATTGGTACAAACTTTGCCAAGAGCAATTTGGCAACATTTACCAAAATGACCGAGACACACATTCTCTGACCCAGCTTTTCCTTGGTATTTTTATCTTACAGATCCACTCCTGCAAAAAGACCTATGTACAAGGATACCCCTGCATTGTCGTTTGTAAAAGCGAAAGATGGGAAAACAACCTAAATGTTTAACAGCCGGGGATCTGTTAAATAAATGGTACACGTACCCCACCAGCCTCTGTGGAGTCGACTCCGACTCATGGCGACCCCATGTGTGTCAGAGCAGAACTGTGCTCCACAGCGTTCTCAATGGCTGACTTTTCAGAAGTAGATTACCAGGCCTTTCTTCTGAGGCATCCTAGGTGGACTTAAACCTCCAACCGTTCAATTAGCAGCCTAGCTCATTAACTGTTTGCACCACCTGGGGACTCCCAAGTAAATGACAGGCCATCCATACAATGGAATACTCTGCAGCCATCAAAAAGAACAACAAAGCTCTTTTTGTCCTGTTACGGAACAATCTCTATGACAGATTGTCCAGTAAAAAAAAGTAAGGTATAGGTTTTTCAAAAAGCTAAACATGGAATTACCTTATGACCCAGCAATTCCACTCCTAGGCATATACCCAAATGAACTGAAAACACAGACTCAAACAGATGCTTGTACATCAGTGTTCGCACCACCACTATTCACGATGGCCAAATGATGGACACAACCCAAGTGTCCATCAGCCGGTGAATGGATAAACAAAACGTGGTGCATATAGACAGCGGAATATTATGCAGCCATGGAAGAGAAATGAAGTTTTGCTACATGCTACAACACGGGTGAAACGTCCAAACATTATGCTGAGTGAAATAAGCCAGACCCAAAAGGACAAATACTGTATGATCCCGCTTACACACAATATCTAGAACAGCAGATGCATGGAGAGCCAAGTTTATTAATGGCTACCAGGGGCTGGGAAAATGGGGAGGTATTGCTTAAGGGGTACCAAGTATCTGTTTGGGGTGCTGAGAAGCTTTTGGAGATCCAGTGGTGACGGCTGCACAATGTGGTGAATGTAATTAACGTCACTGAATATTACACTTACGGTTAACATGGCCAATTTTGTGTGACATGTGTCTTACCACAATAAAATTACATGAAAAACAGGTAAGGTATAGAACACTGAGTGCTTTGTGGTGGGTTTGTAAAGGAACACTGACATCAATGTAATCGTTTGAATATTCATAGAACTTCTCTCAAAGTGGGAATGTGAAGCCAGGATGTTTGGAGGCCTCCGAGGAAGGATGAGAGACACGGGGGTGAGTGGAGGACGCTTCCTTTCATATCCCTGGCTACTGTTATGGACTGAATTGTGTCCCCCCAAAATCATGTGTTGTAAATCCTCACCCACATACCTGTGGGTGTAATCCTATTTGGGAATGGGGATTTCTTTATGCTAATGAGGCCATGTCAGTGGAGGGTGTGTCTTAAGCCAATCACTTTTGAGATGTAAAAGAGCAGATCAGGCACAGAAGCAAGCAAGCATAGCTGGAGAAAGACTGCCGTGGCGGGGAGATCTCCAAGGTTCTGAGGAAGAGAAGCTGAAAGAGACAAGGATTTTCGCCCGAGTGAACAGAGAGCCTTCCCCTAGAGCTGGTGGCCTGAATTCGGATTTTTAGCCTCCTAGACCATGAGAGGAAACCCTAGTGATGCAGTGGTTAACAGCTACCACTGCTAACCAAAAGACGGGCAATTCGAATCCACCAGGCGCTCCGTGGAAACCCTATGGGGCAGTTCTACTCTTACTATAGGGTCGCTATGAGTCAGAATCGACTAGATGGCAATGGGTTGGTTGTTGGTTGGTAGACTATGAGAAGGGGCCCTGGTGGCGCAGTGGTTAAGAGCTCGGCTGCAAACCAAAAGGTCAGCAGTTCGAATCCACCAGCTGCTCCTTGGAAACCCTATAGGGCAGTTCTACTCTGCCCTTTAGGGTCGTTATGGGTCAGAATCGACTCAACAGCAATGGGTTTAGACTATGCGAAAATAAATTTATTTTGGCTAAAGCCACCAACTTGTATTTCTGTTAGTGTAGCACCAGGAAATTAAGACAGCTATCTTTTTATTTTGTTCCAGGGAAACACACTACCTATCAGAAATGAAAACAAGTAGGGGCACACAGCTATACTGGCTAATGCTCCCATTCTTCCTGCTCCTTCCCGTCTCTCAGCCTCTCCTCTCTGCTCACTTTCTCCTCCCTTGCTGTCACCCCGAGAGGCAGGAGAGCGTAGGAGGTGCTGATGTGGTGTCAAGAGCCGAGGCTATAAAGCTGGGCGCGCTGTGCCTGCGTAGGGACACTCACTTGTGGGCACCTTCAGAGCCTCTTGTAGCAGCAAGCAGGGATCAGAACACCTCCCCTCCTGGTGCTGCTGAGAGGATTAGAGCAGACAGCTGTGGGAAGGGCCTCGAGCAGGGCCCAGAGCATGGAAGGACATCTCCGTGTCTGCTGACTCCCTGGGCAGGCTGGAACCTCTGCGTTCCTTTGATTCTGATGGGGGGGTCTTTGCAGAGCACTGCTTTGAACAGCAGGAGCAAGGGGAAGCCCCAAGAAGGGTGGCTTATTTCCCTGTGGGTGCAGCCCAGTGGCTGGGCCTGGGATGGTGGTGCCCCAACCTCCACCTCTGCTCCCACCAAGGCGGTGAGGGCACAAAGGGGTGTGCAGACCAGATGGTCTGCGAACTGATAAAGCTGCCTCCTGGCTTACTGCACTGTGTCCCGCGAGCCCTGGCGCCTTAGACATCCTCAGCAGTGGCTTCGGAAATACTGGGGACACAGGAAGGCCACTTCAAAGGATGCACTTGTGCAAGAAGAAAGCACACACGGAAGGCCTTGTGCTCTGCCCACCCTCCAAGCGAAGTGGGGGGCCCCCAGGTGGGGGTGGGTGGGCAGCGAGGGGTGCTCTCACTGCTGTCCAACCACTTCTTTCACTGAAGCCCACCACCCTCCAGACCACCAACAGGCTACGGAGCTAGACAGCCTTCAACTCCAGCTCCACCACTTACTGGCTGTGGGACCTCAAGCAGAGAGACTGTGTTACCGCTCACAGCCTCAGTTTCCCTCCCTGTAAAATGCAGATTATAACCGTGGCTCTCCCACAGCGTTGTTGTGAGGAGTAAATGGTTTAACTCATGTAAAGTGTACCTGGCATGCACTCTGTGATCAATAAATGCTAGCTATTGTTCTTCTTCATCACCAGGAAAGAAAAAGGATTTCTGTCGAGAAATGGTGCCGACGGTTGTTGACACCTGGCAGCAGGGAAAGTATGGGCAGAGGGGCAGCTTTCAAATTGGAAAGGGCAAATGTAATCGGCTGAATTGTGTCCCCCAAAAGATATGCTGAAGTCCTAGCCCTCGTACCTGTGAACGTGACCCTGTTTAAGAGAACAGGGTCATCATCATCACCAAGGCCTTCCTCTCTTCTGAGCCCTGTTCTATTATGCTGCCAAGTACCATGGCCCTGTCAGAGGACAACAAGGAACCCCAGCACACCTGAACCAGCCCCTAACCCCCGCCAACTGCCACCTCGGGCCATTTCTAGAGCCACAGCATCCACCCCAATCTGGACGCCAGCCCAGGACCTCAATGCTCTTTGGACATAGCCTGCTGGGTCTCCCTGGCCTCACTCACACACTCTGGGACCTGCCCTTTGCAAGCCCTCTCTGGCGCTGGCCAGCCTTACCTACCCTCGAGCTGGCATGTAACGCAGGGACAGGGGCCTTCGGGGCCCCACCTAGCCCTTGTACAGAGTCTCACTCCACTTGTCAGCCCAGGCTGCATCACAGGTGCACATGTAAAACACAGTCCCTCTCATCAGCTTCACAGTCCAACGCTCTTGCGCAAAGAATAGAAAATCCATCAGCTCTCCCCAAGGCCCGAGCCAGCAACTTCTTGCTTCCAAACCAAGTCAATTTAACATCTGACACTTGTGCCAAGAACATACATTGGGAAAGGCACCATCCTTCCAGCTCTGCAACCTTCTCTGACAATTCCCTCACCCAGTCTCAAAGTACCGGTGTCAGCTGCAAGCTCCCCGACCCAGCACCCACCCTGATGTCTGGTGTATGGCTGGCCACCTGCCCCGGCCCCCCAGACTTGAGAGCGGGCACATGCAGCCTGGCCTGGGCACCTGCTCCCTCCCTAGGTTGCTACAGAAAAGAATTTTCCCATGGTCATTGGCCTTACTTTCTGGGAACAGAAGCCCGCGCACGTGTCCACAGTCACGTTGGCCTGTATCAGGGAGGCAGGGAAGGCGTGTGTGACATTCTCTGGCAGCCGGAAGCACCCACGATACGTGACAGTCCTCCCTGTAAGAAAGGAAACGGGTCTTTGGTGAGAAATGGTGCCCACCGCTGCTGATGCCGATCAATGGACTTCTGATTTGGAAACGGGTCAATAGACTCCAGCAGGGCAGCTTTCAAATCGGAGAGGGCAAGTGATATCGACTGAATGGTGTCCCTCTAAAAGATATGCTGAAGTCCTGACCCCTGTACTTGTGAATGTGACCATGTTTTGGGAAATAGGGTTTTTCTTTGACGATATTGTCAGTTAAGTCATACTGGAGTAGGGTGGGTCCTAGTCCTAACTCCTTCTGAGCGGCGCCTTATAAAAGGGAAGAACAGGCATGGAGAAAAGGAGTCACACACAGGTGAAGGCACCACGTGAAGATACATCTACAAGCAGTCAACGAGTGCCAGCAGCAACCAAAAGCTCGGAGAGAGGCACGGAGCAGTTCTCTCCAAGCTCCCGGAAGGAACTGACATGGATGGTACCCTCATTTGGACTTCTAGCCTCCAGAACTGTGCAACAATACATTTCTGTGCTTTAAGGCCACTCCCTTTGTGGTATTATATTACGGCAGCTCTAGGAGAATAAGACAGAAAGCTACCCTGGGTTAGGGGGTGGGCAGTCAAGCCATGTCCCTAATAGAAACCTAGTATCAGAACCTTGGTCACCCAGGTCACCTACAAGGGACCATTTGGAGGAAAACTGTTGAGCTCAGATCTCACTTCTCCCGTCTAGCTCTCTGGGGACAATGTAGATCCACACATCGATCCACCCATCGATCCACCCATCCACCCATCCACCCATCCATCCATCCATCCATACATCCATCTATCCATCCATCCCTCTCTCTCTCCCTCCCTACCTCCCTCCCTTCCACAAATTTATATACTGTGCTTCTACTATATTCCAAGTTCTACACACGGGGCTGATACTCTGGAAATTCCTATATCCTTCTAGAGCATACATTAAAAGAGAAGTTCATCTGGAAATCTCAAATTCTGCCACATTCCTTCTTGCTGCACACTCTGAGTCACACCCCTGCTTTGCTTCTTAGCAACATTTGCCTCTCTCTGACCTTGAACTCCCACCTACATTCTAGGAATACGCCTGAAGCCCATGCTGCAAAGCAGTCCCCTGCCAAACTGCTCTCTAGACCTTCTGATAGAAGAGTCCTGCTCTGTAGCTGGCTTTCTTGTAGCTGAACAAACCTTCTGGAATGTCCCAGCACCAACTGCTTGTATTGATTTCTTATACAGAAATACTCATCAGAGTTTCTGCAGATGGCATCCTGATTCACCTCCCATGCTCCTGTTAACACAGGGTCTCCAAGGGCTCAGTCTTTCTCCAGCTCACTACCTGCCCCATCTCCTGGGCCAGCAGCAGAAACCCCTCACCAGCCAAACCACAGCAGGAGGGCTTTCTCTATGTCAAAGTGCAAAGCAGGACCAAGCCCTGGATTTGCAAGCCCATCCCGATCGGCTACAGCCCTAGTGCTCTAAACATCAGGGCATATTCCTGCTGGAGCATATATGAAGGCAAGCAGTCTGGGCTGCGTCCCAAAGGCCTGGGTTCAAGTCCAGGCACTGCCAGTGACCAGCCATGTAACTCTGGGCATGGCATGGACTCAGGCATCTCTGCTGAGTTGTTTTGAGGAGTAATGTGCACCCATTTGCCATCCCCTGACCAGTCCATGTCTCCCCACAAGCAGGTTTCTGCCCTGGTTCTTACTGTGAAGCCTTGGGGTGATCACTAGTGCTGGGCTCATAAAATTCTTTCTGTTCTGTTGCATGATGGGGCCCCAAAAGAACAAAACATCTAGATGCCCTGGGCTCTGGTCCTCAGCCAGCTCCACTGGAGTGGACAGACATGGAAGAGATAGGCTCAGTGGCCAGGGGAGGGCCAGTCAGGCAAGACACGGGAAGAGCAGAGTGGTCAGGGACCCAGTGAATCCCAGATCTCGGGGAGTTCAGCAAGGGGCCACAAGGCCTCCAGAGTGGAGATCCTGGACGGGGCGCTGCCTCAGGATCACCTGTGTCCCTGCACCCAGCCCCGACCCTGACACACAGCAGGTGCTCAATGTCGTTGCTGTCAAGTGCCCTCAAGTCAGGCCCTGACTCATGGTAATCCCATGCACAATGGTCCCATGCCAACACCATGATTGGTTGCGGATCGGACCATTGTGATCCGCAGGGTTTTCATTGGTTGGTTATTGGTGGCAGATCGCAGGCCTTTCTTCCTAGCCCGTCTTAGTCTGGAAGCTCCGCTGAAACCTGCTCCACGTCATCACAACACACAAGCCTCCACTGACAGATGGGTGGTGGCTGCGTATAAGGTGCATTGGCCGGGAACAGAACTTAGGTCTCCCGCATGGAAGGTCTGAATTCTACCACTGAAGCCCCAGTGATCACAAGTGTTCAATAAGGCTTACTAAATGAATGAATTGAATGAGATAATGCACATGAAGGCATTGCATAAACTGTAACGTGTTGAAGACGGGTGAGTGGTTAAGGTGCTGGCATCAGGAGCCTCTTGGCTTCACTGATGTGACGATCTGGGAACAGACTGTCACCGAGTGCAGTCCACTCCACAGTGCTCTCCCTCACTCCCAGGTGGGAATCCAGGAGCCATGTAGGGCAGAAGGACTCCTCCAAGGTGAAGACACTACTAAATCGCTCAGGACCATCCCTTGACGGGGGAGCACGATCATGGGTCTTACTCCTTTGAATGCTCCTTGTGAGTCAGAGCTACAATTTGAGACTGGGGAGGTGGTCACCTGGTCACCTCTTGAGGTCCTGTCAGTTCAAACCCTTGAGAATGGAGTGGGAAAGCAGAGGTCAACTGCACAGGGCTCCACGGCCTGCCCACTGTTTTCAACACTGACCTTGACACCGAGTCTAGCCGACTCAAGATCTGGGGCTGGCTTGAATGATTGTACCATCTCTCCCTTAACCAACAGGCATCCTGAAGCACAAGGGCCATCTCCAAAAATCAATGACAAGGCAGGCAGGAGGGGCTGGCAGGGCAGCCCATGCCTACGCACAGGCCTGCCCCTGCTGGGGGTGGGGTGAGGGTCGGGGTAGCTAATACTGTTGGAACCCAGAAAAAGAAAAGATCCAAGAAGCCAGCAGAGATCAGCTTGGTCCTCAGGATGCCCATGTGGATGCCCTGTGACAGGTAAGCTCCTCAAGGACAGGAGTGTCTCCATGAATCAGGAAACCCTTGTACCCAGGACAAGGCCACCCTCAGAGTAGGTGTCAATGAGTATCTGTTGAATGAATGGGTTCATTAATTAATTCACAAGCTAAAGAGCTGTGTCAGTGTCCCCATCCCTGTCCCCATTCCCCCATCTGTACCCCTGGTTCCCAGACACATCCTGTCTGATGCAAGAAGCACCTCGGCAGCCTCATCCCCTTCCCAGCACCAGCTGGCTGGGGCTGAGCACTGAATCCCTCTCCCTGATGCTCGGATCCCAGCGATACACTGTAGCCAATGTTGGCCTTTGGGCTCACCCATGGGTCTCAGGCCTGGGCTGCCATACTGCTTGGTAAACTCAGTCTTTGCTAAGACAGTCACCCCCAGAACCCCTGTGCAGCCTGTCAACCTCCTCCTTGAACTCTGCTCCTTTCTTGGACAAATCCATCGGCTTTCCTGGACCCTTGGCCAGTGGCAGTTGTGTCCCTGAATCAATAGGCCTGGCCCCTAGGCTGTGCCTCTTGACCAGCTGCCCCACCCTCACCAGTGGAGATGATAGGGTCTCTGCCCACGCTCTGACTCCTTCCTAGCCTGGCCCCTCCTAATCTTAAAAAGGATGGCCCCCATATGTGCAAATGTGTACAAACACATTATTTTCTAAAAGAGCTTTTTATACTTAGATTAAGTGACCCTGGGGATCACCTTCCTGCAACGAGGACAAACACAGGTTTCAGACTCATCTAGCTGGGCACCTTCAGTTACAACTGCTATTTGATAGCTCTTTTAGCTGAAATTCTTGGGAGGGAAGGTAAAGAGCCTATCAAGCTTGCTGTTTGTTGTATCAACTTGTGCTCCCTCGTAGTTGATGATTTCCACCTGAGTTTTATTAATTGTGAATTGTAAGCTCATCTTCAGTGAGATTTTACCTATGGGAACCCTTTACATCCTGGGTTGATGGCATAGTTCTCAAGAGAGACTGCATTTGCCTCTGCCAGGTGCCCCCAGGTGCCCTACAGTCGATTTTTTTCTGGAGCTTTCAAGACCAGAGAGATAGCATAAATTTGAACCCCAAAACTCATGCAAATGTAAGCCTGTGATTACAAATTCTTAGGAAGATTTTTTTTTTACCTGAAGCCTACAACAAAACAGACAAGCTTTCTTTCTATCTCCCTGAACTAGTGGGGTATATACTTTTGTTTTTTTTTTAATCTAAACTTCCACTGGTTTATACCTCTGGGAAATTGAATCCCATCTTTATGCAGAGGTTTCAATCAAATTCCCCACCCTGGCAGGCCCAAGGCCTCCTTTCCTGTCCTGCCTGGATGTTAAAACCTAAGTCCCATGCCAACAAGCCCAGCAACTTCCCTCTGCTGGGCCCTGGGGCTGCACAGCAGCGTCTGATAGTCTCAGCGCTGGGGTCCTTGGTTCCCTCTTCATTTCTGGACTCAGGGGTTTTACTTTCCTGCAATTTCAACTCTGCATTTAAAACAACATTTGTTACAATTTATGCAGCACTTCTAGGTGTTTTGTAGCTAGGAAACTTCCAGATTATTTAGTCTGCTACACTGCTAGAAATTTAGGTCTGCCTCTGCAGTTTGTAGATACTGGAACCCAGAGAAGGGAAGTGAGTTGCCTAAAGCCACGTGGCATGTCTGAGGTACACTGTGATCATTAAGGTTGTGTGTCAACTTGGCTTGGCCATGATTCTCAGTGGTTTGGCAGTTATGATGTAGTCTGGCAGTCATATGATATTGTGATCACTTCTGTGATGAGATTTGATATAATGTGATCACCTCCATGATGGGATCTGCTGTGACTAGCCAATCAGTTGAAGGGGAGTTTCCCTGGGGGTGTGGCCTGCATCCAGTACAGGTAGACTTTCAGACAAGGCTCACAGGCTTTTGCTCGCTCTGGATCCTACAACTGGCTCTTGTTCCTCTAATCTCTGGTTCTTGGGACCTGAGCTGGCAGCTTACCTGCCATCTTGCCTGTCGATCTTGGGATTTGTTGGTCTTCGCAGCCTGTGAGCAAGAGCCCTGCTGTCTGACCTGCAGTTCGTGGATTCACCAGCCCCTCTAGCTACGTGAATCAGGAGAAGCCTCCAGCCTGACACATGGACTTGGGACGTTCCAGCCTCTACAGCTATCTGAGCCATTTCCTTGATATAAATCTCTCTATATATTTATACAATTTACCAGTTTTGCTTCTCTAGAGAATCCAGCTAAGACACACACCTAGACTTCAGGCCTCCTGGCCAGTTTCTCTCCTGCGGGGGTGTTACGGATTAAATTGTGTTCCCCCAAAATATATCTTGGAATCCTAACCCTTATACCTGTGGGGGTAATCCTGTTTGGAAATAAGGTTTCTTTGTTATATTCATTAGCTCATACTCAGTTAGAGTGAGTTCTAAATCTAATCACTTCTGAGTTATAATAAGAGCAGATCAGACACAGAGATGCCCACACACGTGGGGAAAGAAAGATGTCACATGAGGATCACCTACAAGCCAAGGAACCAAAGAACACGTGGACTACCTACGAGGAAGGAATCAACATGGCTGAAACCGTGATTTGGACATTTAGTCTCCGGAACCATGAGAAAATACATTTTTGTTCCTTAAAGTCACCCACTTATGGTATCTGTGTTACAACAGCACTAGGTAACTAAGACACGGGGCGGGGGGTGGGGTGGGGAAGGGAAGACAGACCTCGCTCATGAGCTCAAGCAACCTCTGATGGACCTCAACTCCACTCTCACCCGGCCACGGGCAATCCAGTGAAGGTGATAGGGAGGGAAAACACAGGGTCTGCCCAGGTCGCTTGGACCAGGGGCTGGAGGTGGCGGGTAGTGGACAGAAGGGGACAAAGTCAGGGAAAGCCGGCACACTCACGCTTCCTGGAGCCTGGCTGCAGCTCTTCCACACGGTACACGGAGAGCCGGCTGACGCCCCCGCACACGGAGCCCTTCTCCCCCTTACACTCCCGGTTACACTCCGCCAGCCCGACGCTCAGCGCTGGGAGCCGGTTCCCGCAGTAGCACTCTGCTCCAGCCTCCAAGCCGGCGTAGACGTAGGACCTGCAGGGAGAGTGGGGCCTGAGGTCTGTCTGGAGCCTAGGTCAGAGCTGGGGCTGAGGTCCTCACTGCACTGAAGTCTGGGTTCAGAAACGGCAGCTGGGCCTGTGGCCAGGATATGAGTTGGACTGGAAGCTGAGGTTGGGTATGGGTGAAGAGGCAGAGGCTACAGACATCAGCACATGGCTAGCCTCAGGGATCAGTCTTCAGCCAGTCTTAAGGGTCACCTGGCTAAGCCTAGGGAACAGAGTCTTTCCTTTGTGACTGGTCCCTCTTGTCAGCCCTGAGCTTTGTCCCCTAAGGTGTAGTGTTTGCCAATTTCTGTGGTGTGAATACCCCCATCATAGCCAATTTGAAGCTCCAGTGGTTTAACAGTCAGATCACAACATTTCTGAAAATGTAACAGTTGGCTCCTGTGAGCCTGCACGAACCAGCTCCTGACACCACTGGTCTGAAGCACCTGCCACAGCCACCATGTTACGAACAGGTCTGCTGTACAACCCTCCTCATCCAAAGCCACGTCTTGGCCTGCTGTGCCCAGTTTTAACGCCATAGGTAAAGATTGGAAATGGAACCTATAAGGCATCACACAGATTTTAACTATAGAAAGAGGCCAACATTCTCAAACTCCCGTCTCAGTGAATCTAGGTACAAAAAGCCCATATTGAAAAGCCAAACACAAGTTTCTAGTCTCTGTCTGGCTGCTGACTAGCTGTGAGGCCCTGAAGGTCACTCACTACCTCCGGGTCTCAGTTTCCTTAACTGTTAGGAGAAGAAAATGAGATTGCATCAGTCTCGGCTTTCGCATTACCTAGACTGTAAAGCACGTGTGAGCAGGGACCCTGTCCTTTCCTTCTCCAGCCTCAGTCTCTCCATCTGTTAAATGGGGCTAATTACCTGCTACCTAGCAGAGGCTGGTGAGGATTACATGAGATAACAAATGTGAGAGAATCTAATGAGATGGAAATCAATCAAGAGTACAATTTGCTGACGCCGTTTTGCTCCCTCCTACCCCCCACCCCACCGCACACACTGAATTGTGAGTGACCTGAGCGTGGAGACCATCGCCTGGCACACAACAAGCAGCAATATCAGAAAAAGCAAACTTCGCTACAAACACAAGATGGAAAATAAACTTTCTCTAACCAAGCTAGAAATATCTTCAGAGAAATCTGGGTTAAGGCCTTTATTTTAAGCATATGAGTAAACTGAGGCACAGGGAAGGAAAAGAACTCGTGAAAGGCACGTGGTGAGTCCCTAGCATGGCTGGATTAGAACCCAGGTCTCCTGGGTCCCCATGCCAACTCATCAACAAACTTTCTTTGTTCTGGATGACTGGAATCCGATCAACTGAGGTTTAATTATTCTATCACAGCCAACTGGTAACCAACATCTTGAGGAGTCACCTCGCTCTGGGGCTGTCTCTTAACTCCGTTCCCGGTGGCATCAGCCTTCCAGGGCCCCACACTTACCGCTCAGCGCAAGCATCCTGACAGTGGGAGACGGTCATCTTCCTCAGGTCATAAAACACAGCCCCCTTCAGAGTTCTCTCCTGGCCATCGTCACTGAAGCACCCGACATATGTGCCTGCAGGAGAGCACACTGGAGGCTTAGAAGCCTGGGAGGCCCGCCCTTAGGAAAAGCCAGAGGCACCTCAGCCCTTTCTGGCCGAGGCACCTCGCAGAGAAGCCCCGGAGACGAGAGCCGCAGTACACTCTCCCACTCAGTGCTGGAGCCATGTGGCATTGGGACACCGCGGCCTTGCTCATGTCCTGCTGCTTTTCTTGGTTAATAGTTCGCTGTCTACCTGGACATCCCAGCCAGGACCCTGGAGTCAGGCTGTCTACCACCTCCTTCCACCTCCCGCAAGTCACCAAGTCTGGATGCTGAATTGTCTCCTCTGGACTCCAGCCCTCCTTTCTGTCCCATCCTCTTCGGCTCAGAGTGGCCGCATTGTTCACTAGCCTCCTGCCTCCATAAATGTCCTGATGGCAGGTTCTATTGCCTCGTTGTGATCCACAGGGAAGAAATTACTTATGGAAAGAATGATCAGCTTATATAAGGAAGATCTTTCAAACAGGAAGAGCTGTTTCAAGAAAAATAGGCTGTCCCAGGAGGGAGTAAGCTCCCACCACTGGAGGAGGGTAAGCAGAGGTTGTACAATGATCTGCTAGGGGTTTAAGAGGGATGTCTTGGGTGGCCATCAATAGGACCAGGTGACTCTGGAGCCCTCTTCCAGCCTGGTCACCTCTGGCACACCCCTGCTCTGGAAGGGGACATTGGGTGGCCGGACTCCACAAAGCAGTGGCAGGGGCTGACCCAACCACTGAGGTATCAGATGTAGTCTGTGTCAGCCCTGCTCCATCACCCTGAGGGACAAAGACGTCCCCCAGAGAGGCGGAGAGGCTCCAAGAATTCATGCACAATGCAAATGCGTTTGGAACAGAAATGTCACACGCACTGCGGTGTTTGAAAAGAATGGCATGTTGGGAATTTGCAAACATGCAATCACACAGTCCCCAAGCTGTGAGCACACCCCCACAATAGCTGTGCCGAGGTCTGGATTGGCACCTGTGATAAAGACATCGCACATCTCCTGAGAACGTCTGCATCCACTCCTGGGTGCCTCTAAAATGTCACCTGTGGAGTGCACCACAGCCTCCAGAAAATTAGGCTGTCTCTGGGAAGTCACATGCCCAAAGCCTCTCAGCAGCCTGCCAACTCCCAAACGGCTTTTCGGTGAGGAATAAAGGCCTGGTCTATCCATCTGAGAGTTTTTATCCCCGGGAGGAACCTGGCCCAAAACACCAGCTAAGGGGCCACCTCCTGAGTGGGTTGGAGGAGCGGGCCTGCCAATCATTCATCTTCTGGGGCCTGAGTCAGGGCGTGATTTTTCTGTCTGTGGACACCACACTTAATTGTGCCTCTGGCCTTGGTTCAATCACTTCAACGTCCTGTGCCTTGGTTTCCTCAACTGTCAAAGGGATCAATGCCCACCCTTTGCTTCCTACTGTCCGTGAATGCTTAGATCCCTGATCACTCCAGCCCACTCTGCTCTCTCCTTCCTCTGGATTCGTATAGCTCTTGAGTCTGAAGAAAAAAAAAACAAACAAAGCTCATTTGCCATCCAAATCTCTGTAATTAACTTAGCCTGTAAAAATCTTTAAACCTTTGTGTCCTGTCTCTGCAACATGACTTAAGGCTCCTTGAGGGCAGGGACCACATCTTCACCCTATCCGGTGACCTCCTCAGTGACTCATCAGGGTTAGCAAACTGTCAGTGTCAACAACTACTTGTCAACAGTGTGTTACAGCTCCTAAAACTACAGTGATGGCCTCTACGGGGTCAGGGTAGAAGCCAGTCAACCAACCAACCAGTTGCCACGGAGATGACGCCAACTCATGGCAACGCCATGTGTGTCAGAGAACTGTGTACCACAGGGTTTTCTTTCTTTTTTTTTTTACTCTTGCAAAAATATACATTAACACACTTGCCAATTCAACACTTTTCAAGTGTATAATTTAGTGATATCAGCTCCACAGGATTTTCAACCGCTGATTTTTTTTTTGGAAGTAGATCACCAGGCCTTTCTTCTGAGGTGCCTCTAGGTAGACTCAGACCTCCAACATTTTGGCTACTTTGTTTACTGTTTGCACCACCCAGGGACTCCGGGGTGGGAGCAGAGAGCCCAAATTCAAGGAGGGAATGGTTCTGTTGACTTTACACCAATGTGCAATTCCCAGGACCACAGTTTAAGAAAGGCAAAGCAGAGGGTGACCAAGATGGTGGTTACTGGAATCCCTGCCACACAAGGAATGGCTGAAGGACCCAGAGATGCTCAGGTTAGAGAACACGGGCTGAGGATGGAGCAGTGACAACATTCAAGGGTCTGCAAAGGGTCTTGCCCACCTTCCAGACCATGAAGCTCTCGAGGCAACCTTCATCCCAGGACGGCCATCAGCACACACGTGCCATACCCAGGATGCAGTGGATAAGCACATGCTAAACCCCTCAGTGGCAGAACTCACATCTTCCATGCAGGACACCCGAGTTCCATTCCCAGACAATGCATCTTATATGCAGCCACCACCCATCTGTCGGTGGAGGCTTGCGTGTTGCTACGATGCTGAACAGGTTTCAGTGGAGCTTCCAGACTAAGGCGGACTAGGAAGAAAGGCCTGGAGATCTACTTCTGAAAATCAGCCCATGAAAACCTATGGATCACAGTTGTCTCTACCACAACTGATCACAGGGCTGGTGCAGGACTGGGCAGAGTTTTGTTTCCTTGTGCACGGAGTCGTCACGAGTTGGGGGCTGAACTGCAGCTAACAACACTGAGACCACTGAGGACTGAGCCCAGACGCCCAAGCCCCTTCTAGCTTCTCTCTCTCTCCTTATGTACATCTGAGGACTACCGAGACCCCACTGGACAGCGGCAGAAAGCTTTCACTCAGGCCAGGGAGAATTCATTTTTCTTTTCAGCCTGCCTACTTAGTACAAGAAAACTAATACTTGAGAAATTTCTGCTGGGTTGCTCAGCAAAGAAGAAACTCCATTACCGGTTTCAGTTAAACATCCAAAACACAAGTTCAGGGGCTGTTAAACATTTATCACTGTAGATGGGGAAATTAGCCACAAAGCCCTGAAAGTGCCTGGGCTCAAGACCTTTGAAGGCGGAGACTGTGACGTATACGTTTCTAGGGAAGTGAATGGAAACAGCCTTTGGAAACCGGCAGACTTAGGTTCTGCTCTACTACCGTCTGGCTGTGTGACCTGGGTTGCTTTCCCTCTCTGAGCCTCAGCTTCCCCATCTGTAAAATGGAGATGTAATGCAATTCCATGGGGTTGTTGAGAGACTTTCGTGAAATAACACGTGAAGTGTTTAGCTCAAGGTTTGGCATATAGTAAGCGCTCAGTAATAACTGCTAATGATAAGCATGTTAAAATCACTTCCTTGAAACTCAATTTCATCATCATTAAAATGGTGGCAACACCACTTATGGAGCCCACACAAATGGTTAAGCACTTGGCTGCTAACCGAAAGGTTGAAGGTTCAAGTCCACCCAGAGGTGTCCTCAGAAGAAAGGCCTAGCAATCTATTTCCGGAAAATCAGCCACTGAAAACCCTATGGAGCACAGCTCTACTCTGACACACACACGGGGTCACCGTAAGTCATAGTCAACTCAATGACGACTGCTTCGTTTTTGTTGTTTTTAATACTACCTACATCTTAAGGCTGTTTGAGGATTAAATTAAATGAGGTAACAGATGCAGATCGACAAGGAACAATGCTTGGTACTTCACAGATGTTCAAATAAATAACAGTGATTATTACTCTGATCCCATACTCTAATGGAGGACCTAGTGTGACGGTGGATCAGTGAGCATTAGCTGAATGAACACATTGGGGAAAGAGAGGAAAAGATGGTTTAAAACAGTAAAAGGTCAGATGATTCTGAAAACGAGGACAGCCTACCAGCTGGCTATCTGATGGGGCTGACCGGTCAGGAGAACGTGATCACCGCTGGCTGGCCCCTGGCTCAATTTGCAAACAAGGCCTGAGTCACAGATGGCCCCTAGCTGGTGAGCAGAAGTGAGCCCTCTTTTTCCTCTTTCCAGGAAAATAACAAATGGCGTTTCTAACTCCCTGACAGAGGCGAGGATGTGCAGAAAAGAAAGAACTTCAGAGGGATTCGCTGGGACACATTCGGAGGCGGGTTTATTCCTTTCGACTGAAACCAAGGTGATGTATTATTGTCTGTGACTCTGCATCCGTTCATTTGCACATCAAAATGGACATGCTGGGCAGCTATTAATGATGGCTCTGCAGATATTGGAATGTCTTTGGAAATTACTATCAATAAAAAACAAACTGGCTATGGGGAAGTTACTATTTTTCCCCTAGTAAACTTACTGACATTTATTCCATTATGGATGTTGTCCAAGGTATAATGAAATGCTCGGTGATTGATGGAGCCTCCAAAGCTTCCGCAGCTTCAGGAGCCCCTTTCAGGGGGATGGCCGGCTGCCCGGCCACAAAGACATGCTGGCTTTGTCTGCGGCTACAGCACTGTCCCCAGGGCTGGACCTCAGGCTACTCCCTACCTGGGAGGCTGGCCTGGCCATGCAGGGCCCATGGAGTTCCCTTTACCCCTTCTTGTGAGGGTCTCCAGTCAGGGGACCCCACAGCCCTCTGAGCCTTGGTTTCCATATTCTGCAGGGAGAGCAAATTCGTCCTTTAAATCCTGAGGGGTGGGTATTTAAAATATTTAACAACCTATAGGGGCATTGACTGCTGAGAAGTGCCAAAGCTCAGCAATGGAGCAGGATCCTGACGCCCCCCACGGCACCAGGTACTGACCCTTTACTTGCCAGGTAATGCACCTTTAACTGGCTGCCTTCTCTCCCGTCTCACTCCCCACTCCCTCATCAGTGTCTCCTGAAATCAAGTACACTATGTGTATCTGAATCCTTGTTTCAGGAGTTGCTCAGAGAGTGGCCTTGGGCAATTGATTTCACTTCTCTGTGCCTCAGTTTCTTCATCTGTAAAGCTGAGATCTAATAATAAGAGCATCTACCTCACAGGTGTATAGTAAACGGGTCAGCCATTTTTGTTAACTAATAAGGAAACCATTTATGGAGTGCCAAATGATACACCAGGTCCTCTATCCCAGTGGTTCTCACACCTAAGCGTGCATCAGGATCACCTAGACGGAGAGAGCGTTAACCTGAGGCGTGCGTCAGCATCATCTGGAGGGCACGTTAAACCTAAGCCTGCATCTGAATCACCTGGCAAGCAAGCCTGCTAATACACACATTGCTGAGCACCACCCCCAGCCTTCCTGATTCAGTAGGTCTGGGGAGAAAGACAGAATTTGCACTTGGAACAATTTCCCAGGTGATGCTGATGCTGCTGGCCTGGGACCCCACTTGGAGAACCAGTATTCTATACTATCCCATCTAATCTTCACAATAACCTTGGGGCGCGTACCTAAGTCTCCATTTCAGAGGGATCTGGAGAAGTTAAGTGCGTGTCTAAGGTCACACAACAAGTTTGTGGCAGGGCTGGGATTCCAGCTGAGGTCTGTCTGAACCCAGAGGGTGAGCTCTAGGTGACCTGCTCCCTGAGCCATGGGGAATTCCAGCTGGGAGTGAATGAAAACCCAAAGGACTTCACATCGCAGGCCCTCCAGGCCGCCTCAGAGCAGGAGGGAAGGAGCTACTGGGAGGGCCCTGGGCCTGCAGTGCCCACTTCTCAGAGGCTGCCACCAGGGCCAGAGAGAGGGGACAACATGCCTGTGACCCCCAGCAGGACTCCTGGGAGCAGCTTCCCAATATGCAAGGGGAACCAAGGCTGAGCACCTACCTCGGCTGTAAGCGGCTGGCCTGGGGGCTTCGGGGCCCAGGGCAGGTGGTCCCTGGGTGTCACCCATGAAGTGGTGGAACCAGCGCCGCCGCAGCTGGCGCAGCTCTGAGTTGCGGCTCTGGAGCGAGTGGGGTCCGGGCCGGGGCCGGGCCAGGGGGCTCCGCAGCACATCCACACCGAGCAGCAGCTCCGGGCTGACACGGTGGTTGTGCAGGGCTCTGCTATCCAGCAGGCCTACACCCAGCGCCACGGCGGCCACAGGCAAGGCCTGCAGGGGGCTGGGCGCCCGGGGGCCCTGCAGGAGGGCCACTCGGGCCCGCTGCAGCAGGAGCAGGCTGCCGGTCATCAAGTAGGCAGCAGTGAGGAAGAAGAGCAGGAACTGTGTTCGGCGGAGAAACTTCTGGAGTCGGAAGAAAGGTTTGGCCATGCCCCTGGGCGGCAGGGCTCCCCGCTGGAGCCCAGGGACGGCTCCTAGCACCCGGGCGGCTGGCAGGCCGGGACCCCCGGAGGCGTCATCCCTGCATCCTGGCTCCTGGCACCAGCCTGTGCTCTCCTCCTCGTTTCCAAGAGGCGTTTGAAGTACACCATTACTTTCCTCCAGCAGCTACTGGGCCCTGCAGCTGCACCTTCTGTCCAAGCGTCACAGACTTCACCATCCCTGAGCTCCACCAGTCCTGATCTCCTGGCTCAGAAATCTGGAAAGGCGGAGAGAAAGCACTCAGATGCAATAGGAGGATCCACCGCCCCAAATGCCACAGAGTCAGGACCCCCTTCACCCCTGTGCTCGAGGTACCTATGTTGCAGGAGCACTGGACAAAGAGCTAGGTTCAAATCCCTGCTGTGTGACATTAGGTGAGTTGCTCAACCTTGCAGATCCTCAGCTTCCTCATCTGTAAAATGGGGATAACACTCCCCCTCCCCCAAACTATAGTGAACATCCAGTAATGATAACCAGTTGCCATCGAGTTGATTCTGACTCATGGGCGACCCCGTGTGTGTCAGAGCAGAACTATGGTCAGATAGGGTTTTCAATGGCTGATTTTTCAGATGTAGATTGCCAGGCCTTTCTTCTGAGGTGTCTCTGGGTAGACTCGAAGCCCTAGCCTTTCATTTAGCATCCGAGTGTATTAACCATTTGTACCACCCAGGGACTCCCTAATAATGGCAGCAGTAACAAGGTAGAAGAGATGGAGGAGGAACGGGAACTTTTTACCCAGCCCTTACTATGTGCCAGGCACTGAGCTAAGCCTTTTACAGATTAGTTCATTTTCTCCTCACAACAATCTAACAAGGTGAATAATATAATATCCCCATTTATAGATGAGAAAACTGTGGCAAAGGGAGGTGAAGTAACTTTCCCACAGCCTCACAGCTGGGAAGCAGAGGAGCCAAAGTTTGCACTCTGTATTCAGAGCCCACACTCTCAACTATTGCAGGGCCCAGTCTATACGGAGACACTGCCATAGTGAGCACACTTAGACCTTTGACTTCCAACTGATGCATCTCAAGCCCAGCTACCACCCGTCTATCAGTGGAGCCTTGCACATTGCTATGATGCTGAGTAAGTTTCAGTGGAGCTTCCAGACCAAGATGGACTAGGAAGAAGAGCCTAGTGATTTGCTTCTGAAGATCAGGCAGTGAAAACCCTATGGATCACAATGGTCTGATCTGTGACTGATCATAATGATGGCGCAGGACTGGGCAGTGTTTTGCTCCATGGTGCACGGAGTCACCATGAGTCATGGGCTGACTCAATGGCAGCTAACAATAAGCTCAGGACGTGAGTATGTAGCAGGTGCTCAATACATGCGTGTGCAAGGACTCCCGGGAGTGCACTGGGACTTCGAGCTATGTTTTGAAAGAGATTCTGTGGAGGCTGGTCAGCTTTAACCTTGGTCTTTAACCTCGAGGGGGAGGGAGTGAGTTTGCACAGCCTTCCTGGGCCTCCTGAATGCAACAGGCCAGAGACAAAGGAACAGGGAAGTGTCAGGCTGTCCACCTGCAACAGAGGCTGGGGCACCTGACGAGAGCGGCTCCGGAGCGGCCTTGCGGGGCTGCCCCCCTGCTGCCCGAGTCACTCTCACCCTGGGCTTCAGCTCTCATCAGCGCCCTGCTGAAGCGTGCTAGCAGGGTTGGCTGAGGGTCCTGCAGCTGCAGCGAGCCAGCTGCTGTGCAAGGAAGGCCCTTAGCACAAGGGCAGGCTTGTCCCAGGAAGAAAGGCTCGTCGGAGCGTGACTAAGCTGCTGCCTGTAACTAACATGGCCCAGGACCCCTGCCAGGCCCCGCAGCCACTGAATGGCTGCTGTGTGCACCGGGGACAACCGGCTGGGTGTGAGAGGAAAGATAATGTTTGGGCTCTTGTGGCCTGGCATTGCAGGCCAGAGGCTCAGGGCAAAGACCCACAGGGGCTCAGACTAGTGTGACCCTTTCAGATAAATGCTGAGGCCACGAAGTTCTGAAATCTGTAGGGAGGGGATAGGCCTGTGGACTCGGGTCAGCTGTTCCTTTAGGCTGGGGGCGGGGTGGCTGGCTGGGGAATCAGCAAATGAAAGTGGAGCTAAAGTGAGTCAAGAAGCCACTACAGAGCGGGTCTCTGGAGCTTTTGTTTTTCTCTCCAAGCTGGTGTGTGCCAGGCCCACCCCAGCCATCCTCATCAGATTGTAAAACCACGGAGAAAATCCCAAGAAATCCTGACTGATCTCCCTGCCTCCAGCCTTGGCCCCTCCAATCATTCCTCCATGAGGATGCCAGGGTGATCCTCCAAACACGCAAATCTGATCATGGCACTCCCCTGCTTAAAACCCTTCTCAATAGCTCCCTGTGGTTTTAGGATCAACTCCCAGATCCTTAACATAACACACAAGGCCTCCTTCACGATCCAGCCCAGCCAGCCTCCTCTTTTGCCAACCCCTTTCCTTTGGCTTCCCATCTCTCTCTCTCTCTCTCTCTCACACACACACACACATACACACAATGTTCCAGCAGAGCCCCCTGTAACCACAGCACACCTGCCTGGGTGCCTTTGCACATCCTGCCTTTTACGCCTTTTCCTCTCTCTTTGCCTAGCAAATCCTTGTGAATCTCAGCCCAGGTGTCACCTCCTCCAAGCAGCTTTCCCTGACTACCTACCACCTGCCCACTGGTTTAGATCCTTCTGTCTTCCCACAGCCCATGCTGATGCTTATCCCGGCACTCTCTATCCTGGGACAACTGTAATTGTCTTTACTTGTCAATCGTCCCTGCTGGCCTGTGAGCAACTAAGGCACGAGGCCAAACCCTATTCATTTTTGCAACTCTGGCCCCCAGTATGAGACTGGGAGCAGGGTGGACGCTCAGAGATTTTTGTTTCTAAGTTCTAAAAATGAATGAGAGGACTGGATGAATTAATGGGCGAATCCTGGCATCAGAAACCCACTCCTATGGGGTCTGTGGGCAGGGAAACCTCAAACTCCATTCACCCAGAGCTCACTCGGAAACATGGCCTCCAAGCTGTCCCACGACAGAGCTTAACAGAGTTGAGGGCTTTCAGACATGTGGACATTAACAAGGGGGCCTGAGCTTTATAGGTTATCCTTTCTAGGTTGAGATTCTAAGAAGAGGGATTTCCAGGGCTGTTCACGAACAGGTTCTGGTTGGGAGGATGTGATTCTGTCAGTGAAAAATCCCCTAAAACTAAACTAAAAAGGGGGAGGGAGGGCTGGGCTCCTGGTGAGCTGGAGCAAAGAGGTGGGAAATGGATCCAGTTGAGAGTTTTGAAGGCAGGATGCAGTGTGAATTTCATACATTACATTTCACATACAAAGGGTTTGGAAACATGATACAAGCAGTGGGGGTGGAATGGGTGTGTGTGGGGGAGTTGTCCAGGTTAATCCATTAGGATTCAACTGATCACACCCGGGCTCTCAAAGGTCCTCCAGAAGTCCTTGCCCGAAGGGCTTCCCCTGGTCTGCGGAGGTGGGCAGCAGGCATGGAGGCAGGGGGACTGCCACTTTGAGGCCAGTGTTCACACCTCTATAAAGCAGGCTGCCACTCCAGCCTTTTAAAACTGCAAAGCTGATTCCCAGCCCTCATAGGAGGACACCCCCATGGGCGTGGGGGTCTGCATGCCCTCATAGGACACCCCCATGGGCATGAGGGTCCACATGCCCCTACCATTAGGAACTAGCTGCCTTGGCCCCCGCCCTGGGCTCCCCCCACTCTTCACCATCAATGTCAAGCTCACACCAATCGCCTCCCACCCCCACCATGCCCACCTCTCCTCCAGTCTAGGAGCCCCTCCGGGGAACAGGTGACACCTTATTTAACTCCATGTCACCAGATCCACTAGGGCAGCTACTGGAAATGCTGTTGAGTGACCGAACCTGAATGAGGCCCAGGTGGGCTGCGAGACCATGGAGCATCTGTACAGACTCACCTGCAAGCCGCCAGGTGAGTCACACAGCAGAACGGCCAGCACTGGGTGGGGGGGTGGGGGGGGATCTAGCCACTGTCTGGCTGCACAGGGCCTGGGAGGCCAGCAGCTGTGCCCATTGCACCCCAAAGCCAGAAGGGCCTCCATTCAAGCAGAGCTACTTAGGGCAAATCATTGCACGGGGCTGAGCCTCAGTTTCCTCATCTGCTCAATGGGAATAAATCGGCATTGCGGGAGGGATCAAATCAGGGAGTAAAAGCTCTTGTTACCTGCAGATTGTGGCATGCATTGATTATGAATGGAAATGAGACAATCAAGGAAAGGCTGGAGGACAGGCCGTCAGCAGCTATGCCACTGGGAGATCAGTCTCAAGGAGCCCCCTCCCCTCCCTCTTAGCCTCCCACTCCCTGGGGTGGGCCCAGCATTCCATTCTTGCTTGAAGCTGATCCCCATACTAAGACTGCTGATAGCAATTGCTTTATTTTTCAATGCCACCATTTATTAAGCACTCACGGCACTAATAGGTGGCTGAATCTGGGTTATGCACTTTGCATGCATCATCTTGTTTACTCTATACAACCCACCAAGGCAGACACCCTTCCTGTCCCTACTTAAGAGCTGGGGACACTGGGGCTTGGCCAGCACTCACCCCTGGGCCACCCGATTCCACCCTGGTGCTAAGCTCCCTGCCTCTCTCTTTACACCAGCCCCAGCTTCACAGGCAGCAAGATTTATTCTTGAAAGGAGTTAAGCGTGCCTCGGTCAGCACCTTTCTGAAAACATGCCAGGCCCGAGCTCCAGGCGATGCTGCTGCACAGGGCGCCTCTGGAGCTAAACCTTCCAGACACTGCGATGTGGGTTAGTGCTGGCCTCCTGGGGCAGGTGGGAGGGGGCCTCGGGACCCTCCCTCCTCTGGAAGTCTGGATAATTTCCTCCCAAGGCGTGTATCCCAGTGGCACCTCCCACCTTGGAGCCTTTTGATGTGCTTGCGGGGCGGGGGGGCCTTTTGGGAGAGGGGGAACCAGCGCTGAGTACTGAGCCTCGGGTTGGACAAAGGTGGACTCCCCTGTCCTACCCACTGGCCTCTCTACAGGCCCTAAAGTCACCCAAAAGAAGAGTAAGGCCTGGGGAGGGGGACCCTGAGTTGCCTCTTAGGAAGGAGAGGAGAACAATAGGCTAAAGGGGCTTCTGGGAGGCAGCGGAAGGGAGGCAGGAGCCCAAAGCAGGTGGGGACTCCGAAATCCTGTCTTTGTTTCTTTGCCATCTGGGCCCCAGAAGCAGTAGATGCAGAGCCTGGAGGCAGCCAGGAGGGAGCTGGGTTGGGCAGGTGGCACCTGCCCCACAGTAGATAGGGGTCTCAGACACCGAGCGTGTGACGGGCAGCGGAGAGAGAAGAGGCAGTCCCTGGGCCTGGGGGCTGGAGAACAGGCATGGGAGCGGGTCCAGGCCTGAGCAGTGGTCCAGGTTCAGTTACATGACTCCACCTCCCCACAGCCCCTTGTCCAGGGTGGCCAGGCAGTGGCAGCTGAGGTGAGAATGACTCCAGATGCCCCAGAAACGTCTTGGTCATCGTGGCCAATTCAGAGAGGGCTTCGAGTCTCTCGGGACTCGGAGGTGAGTGCTCCCAGGAGGGCGAGAGCCTAAAGACAAAGGAACAGCCCAGCATGCTGCTCTCCAGGCTAGAAGGAGGTGGCACTCGTCCCTGCAGCCCAGCCAGGGGGGTCTCAGCCTCAGGACCTTGGTGAAGCCACACGAGGGAGCCTCCAGCCGGCTTGGGGCTCTGGATTACCCTCCCCTGGCTTTCCCATCCCCCCACCCCCACCTCAGCGCTGGTCTAGGACCTGTCATCTGGACCCCTCTCCAGGAGCTGTCCCCTTCCAGCAGCCTAAGAAAGAGAGCTTTCTAACACCAAGAACTAATACTACTACAGCCAGCAATGGCTCCCCAGGGCTGGGACAACCAAGTCCAAGCTCCTTAGTCTGGCATTCAGTGGCCCTCCTTGGTCCAGTCCCTAGAGGTCTCTCCAGGCCCATCCTCTCAACATTCCTTCAGCAGCTCTGTGTCCCAATCCTAGGGTCCCTGGCCAGCTTGAGATACTTCATGCCCCTCTGGCATGCTCTTCAGCCAGCAGGGATGTCTGTGCCCCATATCACAGCTCTGAAATGTTTCTTGGCCATTGTGGCTCAGCTCCAGTGCCACCTCTTCCATGAAGCCTTCCTGACTGCTGGAGCTGTGCCATCCGCACCACCAGCACCGGGATGATGAGGCTGCACGATGCTGTGAATTATGCCTGAGTGACCTGTTCTCTCTTGAGTCAGGGCTGCCTGCTAATGGGTCTGCTCCTCCTAGACTGCGAGCCCTTCCCAGACAGACTTTCAGGGCCTCTGCCCACTTCTGGGGACCCAGGGCAGGCTCCCAGAAAATCTGTGCCCACAGGCCACCCTCAATGCTCAGGGCCATGCTGCCCTAATTCTGGACCCCCATGCCTCTGGGCCTTGGAGGTTGAGAAAAGGGAGCATGGGACCCACTAAACATATACCTGCTGGATGCTTGGGTGCAAACAAGGTCTGGGAACTGGGAATAGGATGGGATCCCTGCCTTTAAGGAGGCAAATCTCCTGAACTTCTGAACTTAGAACTAAAGAGAAAAGCAAACCAACCAAACCCACTGCCGTCGAGTCGATTCCGACTCATAGTGACCCTACAGGGCAGGGAAGAACTGCCCCATGGGGTTTCCAAGGAGCGTCTCGTGGATTCGAACTACCGATCTTTTGGCTAGCAGCCATAACTCTTAACCACTACACCACCGGGGTTTCCAAAGAGAAAAAGTCCCCCCAGAAACGTTGCTAAAAAGGTGTAAGACGTAAAACTCCATTTAACGCAAACGGAAAACCAACCAAACAAAAATTTCCAGCAAACCTACTGCTGGGTTCAAAGAGATAGTTTTTATATACCATATTAGAGACTGCAAGATACTTTCACACACTATTCAGCGTGCTGAAGGAATAAATGGAACAAATGAATGAGTGATCGTTCCATAAACCTGTGAAGTCAAAATCATTATCATCCCCATTAGACAGATGCAGAAACTGAGATACAGAGAGGCCCAATTAACTTGATCAAAGATGAACAGCTATTGCTAGACTGAACTGAAGTTTGCTGGTCTCATCTACCATATCACGTGGCCTTCATTTATTCAGCACCAGGGACCGAGCTCCTTCCGTGTGCCAGGCACCGAGCTACGGGCTGGGGCTGCGGAGAAACACAGGACGCCACCGTGTGGGCTGGCAGCTTCCCTTTCTAGCTCGTTGATCTGGAGCCCACAACACTCTTCAAACAGCCAGTCACAACCTCTTCTGGGCAATGTCTGGGCTACCTCGGCTATAAAACCCTATTTTGTTCACTTGTTTCTCCCACCTCGTGGTAAACCCTTGAGAGCTGTCAAGCTCAGGGTCTGGCATGAAGTGGGTGTTCAAATCCCACTGAGTGATTTGGATAAATCCATGCAAGTGAATGAAGAACCCCACCAGAGCCAGACTTGGCCTTTTCTGCCTCTATGTCCATCGTGCCTGTGGCCACTGGGATGGGGCACAAGATGCCAGGTTATCCTGTCCTTGTAACCCTCGTGGCTCACATCCCCCAGGTTTCCAGCAGCAAGCGAAGGGAAGCAGAGTGGAGGGAAGAGGTCTTAACAGCTACCAAAAGGTGCACCGTATTTTATAGCTTACGAAAGGAATCCAGTCCATTCTGCCATCCACACCTATAAGCAGTAAGCATAGACAGGCTTCCTCTCCCGAATGTGTCCTCCAAAAGTGGTGCACTTCTGCTAATTTTTAAGGTGGTAAGTCAACATGGTGACTGTAAAGCCACAGCGAGAAGGGATTAGAGGAACAGCATGAAAACAAGACCAGCAGGCCAGGGAGAAAGTAGTCAAAGGCCAGGCCTTTTAGAAACCAGTCCACTCACCCATCAACCAGCTGAGCAGGGCCCGCCTTGAGCCCAGCCGGGCCTCAGATGGTAGCACCCAGCTCTGCCACTGACAGTGGGCCTGATGACCACTCATATCTATGGATAAAGACCCTAAAGGTCTGAAAAAGCAAGTGCCCCAAAGTCCTTGGCCTTGATTTCATTGCAGCTCCCGAGGGAGAGTGAGGGGATCTAGTCTCATCAAAGCTGACCAGAGTCTGAGCCAGGCAGGACAACAAGCTGAGAGTGTTGACAAGGATAAACACCCCTTCCCAAGAGGTCCTCCTCAAGTACAAGCTGATCTAGCCTGGAGGGTATGGATTTGGATGATATGGTCACCTCTCAGGCTGACCCCACAGGGAACCAGCTCTGCGACTCCCTCCCTTGCGCTCAGGATGAACTCACTGGGCTGCGAGGTTCAGGCTTGAGCAGTAGACCAACTGGTGGCACAGACAAGCCACTTCTGCCCAGTTAGGTGGAGTTCCTAGGTACTGCAAACATTTAACGTGCTTGGCTGCTTACAAAAAGTATAGAGGTTTGAGTCCACCCAGAGGTACCTCAGAAGAAAGGCCTGGTGATCTACTTCTGAAAAATCAGCTATTGAAAACCCTGTGGAGCACAGTTCTACTCTGACACACATGGGGTTCCCATAAATTGGGGTTGACTTGACAGCACCTGATTGGGTTTTGGTTAAGCAGACAGCAGGGGAAGGGAAGGAAGTGGGGTTCTGGCCTTTTGCCCAGTCTAGGCTTCTCTTCCCTTCCAGCCAGACATACTGACCACAGGCACAGGACAGCAGCCCATAGGGCTCCAATGTGTACTGAAAAGAGGAAGGCCCCTCACTCCAAAATAAAGCATTTTTTAAGAGGAAGTGTGAGGCGAGGACCAGGGGCTTCTCCTGGGAAAGATGAGCCTGCCAGGCTCAGCCTGTCAGCCTGCCACCTGCCAAGCTTCCTTCAGCAACCGTGCAAACCTGCCTCTGGTCAGAGCTGAACGAACCCAATCACAGATAAAAGCAGCCGCTCCTTCTCAACCACCATTGGAACCCAGGTTTCCAGTGGCCCAAGGAGGCACCTTCTCCAACTTCTGAGGGCCACCTAAGTGAGAGGGGGGCATGCTTGAGAGACATACACCCCATTGTTCCATAACCCCAGGAAACCTCCCTTTTGCCATTCTCCAACACTTGCAGCCATCAGGCCGGGGCTGCTGCCAACAGGGCAGGGCAAGCCGGCTTGTTGCTTCCTCCAACTCTTCAACTCCCCACCAGCCCTCACTCCCCTTGCCTGATAACACGTGCAATTCACAGGAGAAAAGAAAAGGCCTCCATTTCCTGATCCCAGCCCGGGGATCCCAACATGGGATAATCCGAGGGTCTCCACCAACCGAAGCATGATAGTCCAGCAACAAAAGGCATGATGGCTTCTGCTGTGGTTAGAAAAGTACAGTGGAGTTAGAGTCTGTCCATCTTTGGACCACGGGGGACCAGGCGAGTGCGGGCAGCAGCGGGATCCCAGGGCAGGGCTGCGGGGGCTGCAGCCCTTACATGCAGCGAGCAGGCACAGTGACGCTCAGGAAAATAAACGACCAGTGAGGCTACCCAGAGATAGGGGACCCGGCTAGAGATGCTTCTGAGTATCCTGTGGCGAGTCTCTGTCCACACCTGGGAGGATGCAAAACTCCACCTCGGGGTACATTTTGCGAACAAACCGCATCCTTTTCGCTCTTGCTTCTGCCTCTGTTCAAGTTCACCAAAAGCCAGGAGAAAACCCTCCGCTGACCGTAAGCCTGGCTAGGGAAAGGAACGAGAGGAGCTGCTGCTTGGTATTTTCCTCTCCTGGGAGGCAGGCAGTACGCACCCCAAATCCTGCTCTAGCCCCCTCCCCGGGGCTGCAGACCTCGTATCCTCCCCATCCCCCCGGGAAACGACGGTCTCCCTGGACTCCAGGAAGGGGACGCCTCCTCGCGTCTTCGGAAACTGCCCCGCGCGCCCCCGCCCCAGCCGGATCATTACGAAGCGCTCCCACACACTCACGTACACTCGCACCCCCCTCACCCGCGAAGCTGCCCTGGCGCCCCGGAAACGAGCTCCCCGCCAGCCTGCCCAGCAGCCAGAGCAGGTGCAGCCCCGCCGCGCTCCCAACCATGTCTACAGAAACTTGTGTGCCCGCGGCTGGGGAAACCTTGCGCTCAGCCCGCGCGGGGGTCCCGGCTTGGGCGACCCGGAGACAGGACTCACCCCACGATCCCGGCTAGCAGAAGCTCTGCCACCGGCGGCGGCGCGCCCGCCTCCCGGGGACCAGAGCCCGCAGCCCCGCAGTGCCCGGAGCTGCTGCGCCCC